TTGAAGAGCATATTAAATACTATCATGATGCTCCGCCACAGCCTTCTGGACCACCGCCATCGAGAGATTCTGCCACGCGACCGTGAGTCGGTGCCTGAGTTCAGCGAGATCGTTGATTTTCCGCCACTAGACCACCCTATTGAACTCCGCCCGAACCAGGTAATTGATGGGTTTAGGTCAGGTGACCCGCTTTGATATTCCATCTTCTTCAGGAACTCAACGCCCTTCCATTCCAAGTAGGCGAGAGTTTTTCCAACGCCCTTCAATTTCATGTGGTGTCACCCAATCCTGTAGCAGTACAAAGTTTCCAAGAAGGTACGGGCGACGACATGTGGGGAGGATATTCTTCTCGAGTTGCTCGATGTAACCGCCAGCGCTCACCTTCAGTCCGGGGTCCACGAAGAAAATATCGGTCTTTCCATTCCAGGTACGTCCGGTCCATACCATCAACCCGCGCCTTGGCGACTGTGGTGAAGATGATGTCCTAGACCGTAGCGACGTTGTCGGAGCTGCTCGATGTTGGAGGTCTTCCAGATCGAGAGTACTGGTCTCCAGGTAGCTATCCATGGGTGACTCCACACTAGAAGTTTCGCAGCTGTTTGGAGGTGACATGAATTCCAAAGGTCTTCTCCAGTCAGGCTGCGACTGGAGATGACTTCATATTTTGGTGTACATGAAGGTGATGGGCGAGAGCCAGCTCCTGCTTATAGAGGAACATCTTGGGTATCTTCCGCCCTGGTACTCGTATCCACGTCCTCTGTCTGGGCTGCGAAAACTTTGCTGATATGTGACTCGGTCGAAGTGTCTTTTTTTTTGCCCTCCCCTGTATATGTAAGGAATATAGCAGACTGGCAGGGGACCATTCATATCATGAGTGCACCTCATGCCAGTGATTGAAGGTGATTGGCACGTTGATTTGGTACCCTGCCTAAGATGGCAGCTGGAGTGCTAAGTAGTGGGGAAAGTGGCGAAAAAGCAGAGTGCGTTCATAAACCTGCAAAAAAGCCTCCGTTCCACTGAACTCAGAAAGCAATTTTGCTCCCCGTTGGCACCGTGCCATAACCGCTACGGTAGATACGGGTGCACGTATGTACTCATATATCCATGCAGCACCGCAGCCGCTTCATATCAATCCCTTCGCTTCATATTGTACTTCGCAAATGAAGCGATACGAGCATCAGCATCGGTCGGACATTTGTGGGCGGGCGGGCGCGGTGGGCGTTCGGGTGGTAGGTTGTAGTTGAAGAGAACGCTCTAAAGGTACTTTCGTTGGAGAAGGAGTGTATGCTCAGGGGCACCGAAGTTAGTCTTGCTAGGCGTATCAGTCCCACACGTCATGGAGATTTATCGTTCCAACTGCTTTACAGGGCTCACTCATGCTGAGAGGGGTTTCAGCGGGATCGTTGTCCCAGACGACGACGACACCTCTCACAAGCCAAAAGAATACGCTGGAAACCATCCAATCCAAAATGACTGTGTTATGCACCGATGCTACGTAATGTTTCTAAAATATCATCATGGTTCTATCGCCAGTATGGGGGTACTGAGAAAACGGAAAATGGGAAAAGCACCAGTGTTTCCGTATGGCTGTTCTTATTATTCTAGGTATTATTCTCTTCATATTATTAGGGGAGGTGAATGTTGGGCTAACACAAAGCAAGAAATAGTAACGAGACGAAAATGAGAAAACAGCCATGCACAACTGAGATTGCAGCCAGAAGGGGCAGAAGCCTGAGAAGCCTGTGTGTGTGTAATACTTGAAATTTCATACTAGCATCTGAGCTGTATGTGTTGAGTATGGGAGGGTTCCTGAACTACATGTTAACTTAAGACTGCACTAAAGACAACACAGTTATATAAATATGTTCCTTGAGTATGTTGCATCCCTTTGTAATTTTGAGTTTGTTACTGCCCTTAATTAAGGACCGAAAACATGGGGAGGCGAGCAGGTGTACCAAAATGAGTTTCCATGGATAGCTGCCCTTAAACGTGAGTTAATGAATTTTTATTCGCTATGTGCATTCTGAGCATGCAATACAGGACAAGCTATATGTAGTCTTGTTCGCTGTGGAGCTGGAACGTGTTAGGAGGGCCAAATTGGCGTGGCGTCAAACCTTTCTTCAAAAATTGTTGAAGGGACTAAGTGACAGCAACTGGTGAAAAGCAGGCTGGCGCAGTGTTTACACCAAACCTCCAACACCCAGTATCTGCTGCGAATAAGAACGTAAGAAACAGTTAGTGATATGAAATAAATAAAATGCAGTTGAGGAGAGACGAATTAAAAAAAGCAAAAAAAAAACAACAGGGGATGAACTCGTCTTGAAACTATAGGAAACCGTTTATCTAGCACAATGACGAACAAAGGCAAAACTAACGAGTGTAGAGTCTGAACTACGTCGGTCGTCGATTGGCAAGAGATACATAGTTCCACTTCGTAAGCTTTCGCGCTCCACCAAGCGCCACATCAACCTTTGCGACAATCAACCCACATTCTGTCAGGATCTCCTAGAACTGTCCTACCGTTAGTGTGGAGAGCGCCCGCTTCCGAAATGTGCTAGATAGTTGTGAACGACGAATATCACACTGTATTTTTATAAAAAGTACTATGGACACGTACGCGAGGCCCTGTCGCTCTACAGCTGTCAGTGCCCTATAAACCGTGGTGGGTTAATTGTTGACACTCATTTGCGTTGTTCATTTTGGGTTTCCTTGTTGATGTCCAGAATGAATGTCTTCATCGCCGAGGTTCCCATCGCCTGTGTGGAGACGCACTTAATTTCTAAACCAGTTTAGCTGAGGTGCAGTACTGGGCGCACCACGTGCTGTTAGGGCAAGGAAAGATGATGAGGACGAAAATGCGATAGAGTACCCAAATAACAATAAGTTCCAGGAACAAAAGAATAGAACGACAATTACGAGGAAGCTGGTACACAGGTGGTCTTGTACAGTTGAGAGTCCTCTCCTGAAGTTCAGTAGGATAGGTTTTCATGGTTGGCTGTAACACCGGGACTCTCTGAAAAAATACAGAATACTCATAGTGCGAGTTCCGTGATTCATGCTTGTGCGGTTTTCAGTTAGGTGATTTTTCGCTTAAGGACAAACTATAACACTACTGCAAGGAGAGCGAGGATCCGAGGTGGTGGGAAATGCACTTAGGGGTGAGTTATTGTTCATTTTCTTATTCATTTATTTTTCTCGAAAAACGATACAGAAATTTACACTAACTGTGACGGTATCTAATAAGTCATTACAAGCCTTGAGAGCGAGTACGAAGGTGTTCAAAATATGATGCCAAGGGTCTTACGGTATTACTCCAGCACGCCCATACGTCATTTCCCGCATGCTGACTAGGCTAGGGTGCTTTAGTGATGCAATGGAAGTGCCGCAATATCTGTCGTGAGCTTACTTTCTGTTTTATAGCTCAAATTAGAAGCAAGTATGTTGATGGAAAACAATCAATTCAAAGAAGCATCCCACGTATGAAATCTGGTGCACGTAATAATTATCCTGTTTTCTGGGGTTAAGGGTTATCCATGTGCAGAGACGAAGAGGCACGCGCTAAAAATGTTTTGGAACATCTAGAGCTGTTATCGCCTTTATCGATTATTCTAGTCTTTTAACTGGTTTCCAAGCACCACTTTTTTCCATCTTATTGCCAGACTATTTTACCGAAAGTAATTAGCGCCAGAGGCCGGAGGTGGTGTAGTGACAAGTGGCGCGCTTACCACTCGCGCGGCGCCGGGTTCGAATCCCGGGTCGACACCCGCCCAGGCCAACCAAGCCTTCTACCCTCCGGGGACGGTAAATTGGTACCAGATTCGTCTGGGAGGATAAAACACTGACTTGTATGGCCACCGCAAGTCATTGTATAGGCCACATCGCATTCAATAAGCCACTACGATTCTGAATGGAAGTAGAATGCGTGCCGCATCCCACAAAGGGATTGATCAACGGCGAAGACTTTATCCTTTATCCTTATCCTTTCAATTAACGCCATGTAATAAAGTAGGGGTTGACCCATGTCTTTTCCTGGTTTCTAGTTTTTCCAGTTTTTCTTTCCTCCTCATGAAACCTTATGTTGAAAGTGGGAAGTTTTACTGACAATTTTGTGCACGAATGAGAATTTCCCATGCCATTTTTACAGCCCTAGATCTATGTGCTCAATGTACAGTAGAAGCTCAAAGCAGGTGCATGACTAAGAAGCGGTACCTCTTACGAAAGATTGAAGTTAGTTTAGTCGGTACAGCATGGGAATTTCAGCGTTTCAAATGTGCTTTGCATCGGACGCCCACAGAATATCATAAGAATGATGAGTTGTGGGCAAAAGTCGGACCACGGACGGGATTCGAACCCGCATCTTCTGCTTACCGGGCAGTTGCGTTCCCTATTACGCCACTTTTAGCCATTGAGCTGAGTGGTCAAAAGTGGCCCGGTAGCGTAATAGGGAACGCAACTGCCCGGTAAGCAGAAGATGCGGGTTCGAATCCCGTCCGTGGTCCGACTTTTGCCCACAACTCAGCATTCTTGTGATAACTTTCGGATCGCGCACTGCGGCGTTAAACAGCAGTTATCAAACAATAACAGCTCACAGAAGCGACTGCCTGCAGAAGCCAAGCATCAAGTTTCTGAGCCTCACCTATCAAGCGACGATGATAGTCAAAGTATCACCTATCGCCTGTATTACCTGTGCTCCCGTTGATCATCGAGTTCCTCGAGCGGGCGCCAGTAACGTCTCCATTCGTCCCTGCAACGTGCAAGAGTTGCCCAATGGGTCCCCTGCTCAAGGGGACACGACATCATACCACTCGTTCAGAGGTTTCACGAAGATGTCCGACCATCACGTAGGCGGTCGTCTGCGTGAGCTCTTTCTGCGTGGTCTGATGTCGGTGAGTCCCCTGCAAAGGGCGCCTCGCACTCATGAAAACAGATCACAGTACTAACCATAAGAGGGAGAATAGAAGGAAAACCGCGATGCTAATTTTGTGGCGAAAAGATAGCAAATGATGGAATGGTTTGTTCAAGCAGGTGCGGTAATTGTAGAAAACAGGGAAGATCGATTTCGTAAAATTACGAAAAACTTCAAGAAGCAGGAAAACTGTATTGATAGCACTTCTCCACTCTGATTTTTATGCTTCCCGAAGTGGAAAAACTTGATCTTGTTTAGTTAAGATTGAGACGTCCATCTGCAGTGCTGTGCAAATTTCCAGCCGACACATTTTGACAGCCGCTCACTGTGTTGTCAAAAACGTGGAACCACTCGACCAATATTTCTCGTGTAGTATTCTGAGCCAGGAAAATAGGTAAGCTTCAGATCATTAGTCCCTCAGCACTCTTGCCCAAACACGCTGAGGCATGTAGAGATGTGGCAGGGGAACGAGAAAGGAAGAAAAATGTTTGAGATCCTATTCTTCCATGTCGCTCAGAAACTAGTAAGTATAGCCATCCATTCGTCAAACTTGCCTCAACTTAATAAGCATGTTCACCGAAAGAAACGTCAGCAAAGTGAGAATGAGCCTCAGTGATCACAATCAAGATTCATATTATTCAGCAAGGTTTGCAGAGAGGGTTTTCGTTGCTCGGTTCAATTGAAAGCTGCACCACTAGTTGCGTAGAATGGCTTTCTCGAAATAGATGTAGAAGAATATTCGAAATGCTCAATGAACGAAGAACTGGTACAAGTAAGAAAGAAGAAATACGAGCACTTGAACCCAAGCGTCGAATATCCTTCTAAAAAGACCGGACCATTATTGAGCTTTGTCCGGACTTCGTACGGTTGTATTCGCGCAACCTGTAACCGCGCGACGTCAGCTGTCCTGGCCACTAATGTACAGGTGGGGGAGCAAAAAAAAGACACTTCGGCCGAGTCACATATCAGCAAAGTTTTCGCAGCCCAGACAGAGGACGTGGATACGAGTACCAGGGAAGATACCCAAGATGTTCCTCTATAAGCAGGAGCTGGCTCTCGCCCATCACCTTCATGTACACCAAAATATGAAGTCATCTCCAGTCGCAGCCTGACTGGAGAAGACCTTTGGAATTCATGTCACCTCCAAACAGCTGCGAGTCACCCATGGATAGCTACCTGGAGACCAGTACTCTCGATCTGGAAGACCTCCAACATCGAGCAGCTCCGACAACGTCGCCACGGTCTAGGACATCATCTTCACCGCAGTCGCCAAGGCGCGGGTTGATGGTATGGACCGGACGTACCTGGAATGGAAAGACCGATATTTTCTTCGTGGACCCCGGACTGAAGGTGAGCGCTGGCGGTTACATCGAGCAACTCGAGAAGAATATCCTCCCACATGTCGTCGCCCGTACCTTCTTGGAAACTTTGTACTGCTACAGGATTGGGTGACACCACATGGAATCGAAGGGCGTTGGAAAACTCTCGCCTACTTGGAATGGAAGGGCGTTGAGTACCTGAAGAAGATGGAATATCTAAGCAGGTCACCTGAATAAACCCCTCAATTACCTGGTTCGGGCGGAGTTCAATAGGGTGGTCTACAGTGGCGGAGAAATCAACGATCTCGCTGAACTCAGGCACCCACTCACGGTCGCGTGGCAGAATCTCTCGATGGCGCTCCTCCAGAAGGCTGTGGCGGAGTGTCATGATAGTATTTAATATGCTCTTTAATATGGTGGTAAAAATGTCCGATCAGAATTTAGTGTAACTTATAGCGCCTCGAAAGTCAAGGAAGAAAAGTGTTTTCCTCCCCCCCCCCTGTATTATTACTTTTTTTCTGTATTGCTTCAAATTTTATTTTAATTGACGCTTTTTAGTATCTGCTGCACTTATGAAATTCGACTAATTATCTGGAGATCACTAGGAAATTTAGGTTTTCGGGGCAGTCGACCAAATATCCTTACACCAGAATTTCTCCGGAGGACTTAACTGTCTACGTTAACAGCCCGTGCGAAGATCCTGCGCGCTGTGAAAACAACCAGGCTGAATTCAAAATCACTAAACCGGTGAGCAGAGTTGAAGGCTGTATTTTGACCGAGGCAAAAACAACTTAATTTAGCCTCTTATCCATGAGGAATACGATCTTTGCAAGGATGAGAACGATGTGGCAATTATTGAACTCGACAGAGATATTCCATCTGAAGTGGGCACTCCGATTTGTATGGTAAAAGAGGGCGAACGCTTTTCCTCAAAGCTTACTGCTGCTGGATATGGGGATGATCGTGAGTTAATGATCACTGTTGCCTTATGTCACAGGTTCAAGTTTCATTCAAAATCAGTCGGATCGCCCAGCTGGCGCCCAGCACTCCTTCTTCTACGCCACGACCCGGCTTCGCCCTATGGCCTGGCTTTGCCACGCAATCATCCCTCAGACGAGATAGAATCGCAAATATGCCAGACGTAAAGCATATTTCAGCGGAAATATAGAAAAATAAGGTAAAGAAAGCACTACCTCATCCATAAGGTGTGCACACCTGGCCCTCTGATACTTGGCTTTCAACCGTAAGTGGTATGAGAACGGGGTATGCAAAGTTTATAGTAGTAGTAGTAGTAGTAGTAGTAGTAGTAGTAGCCGAGCAGAAAGGAGCTCTCCACATTGCTCTGTTCATGTCAAAATCTTCATCACACAGGGAGGCAAGATGCACTTTATACCGTTGGTCCTTAGCTTTTTTTGACTGCTGCAACCTCTTTTTCTTGAAACAAAAATAGCAAAAACACACCTGGCAGACTTCCAACATTTTTTATTACTTACCCTCCGTTTCGGCCGCACAATATACCGTTCTCCCTTCCCCTCTCGATCGACATCACTACATGCAGCTAAGGGTTCAGTGGTGGTTGATTGACCCCGTTTGCATCGTGATAGCTGAGAAGGGTTCCCCACAGGGCCTCTAACACTTGGCAGTATATTTGTAGGAAGTGATACGGAATGCAATGAAGATAGCCTCTTATCTCATTTTATCATTTAGATGATTACCTGTCGCCGGCTGGCGATACCCTATCACTACAATTTTATAATTCGTAGTGTAAAAGCCAAATCCACTTGAAGAACGACGACGACAGCAACGTCCCTTATCAGGCAGTATCAGATGATATCACTTTCCGTCACCCATCATCGATGTCCCATGTCACTCTCTACTTTACATGTTGGAAGCAACCCCTCGCTGTTGCTGTGACCCGCGCTGTGAACACGGTGACTTCATCCTTCTGATTTCATCCGCTTATCAAATCTTTTAAGCTCCTAACAGTTCATGTCACTGACCAATAATGTTCTTGTCCTATTCTTTCGGTCATATCCTGGAGCTAACGCCTAAGTGTTGCCGTGACCCAGTTGGCACCATAAAGGGTCCCTAGTTTAGGTTAGGGCCCTTGATTTGCTCCGTTACTTCACGAATCGTTTAAAAGCTGCCCATGCTGCACGCTTAGGGGAAAGCGTATATAACCCTAAAATATATGCAAGATCTCTTCGAACAAGAATGAAGTGAGAAGCTTCTCAACTATGCACCTCTGCCCTCTTTCCGTCCCAGCGCTGTGGCGTTGGCCAGATCTGTGAAGTATCAAATTGCCCCATACTTTCTGTGAGCCCCGATTGTTTACAAACATTGATTCTAGAATTTTTTTTCTGATTTTCCTTTTTTTGATTGTTTTGTTGTGCGTTTACACCAAGTATGCATGTAGTACACATCAACAATATTTATAAAATGCTCCAATGCATGACAGGTTGTTGTGCGATACTTCTCTGATGAAAATTCTGAGACTTCTGATCGACGAAAGTTAGGTGTTAGTTTTGAGATCGCTTTGATTGGCCTAGAATTTTTCGTTAAGAAAGTGAATCATCAGAAAGTGAAATAAGCACCAGCTGGCCTGAGCGAGGTTCAGGCTATAGGGGTGAAGCGGAACATTTATCCATCTATTATGCTGGCGGTGTAACCTCAAACAACGGAAATTTATTTTTTTAGCTTCTCACCCTACGCCGCACGGGGCTGTTTTCAATCGGCTGCAGAAGATCGATATAGATTCCAAGAACGTGGAAGAAACAGCAAACTGTAAGATCGAAGCATTCCTTGCCAACAAGTCTGTTTGCCAGGTACGTGAACACTTGAAAAGAAGCGGCTACCAGTCCAACCATTTTACTAACTTCTTTTAAACAGCCGTTTTTTTTTCGAACCGCAAGAATTAAGTTCTCATGGCTCTATCATGACTTTCTACTCGGTAGACTACACTCATGCTCTATTTCCACTTTTGCAGGGTGATAGCGGTGGACCCTTGTTTCATTTGAATGGAAGAAGAAAATTTCGCTCTCCTTGGAATAGGAAGCACTATAGTTCCTGACTGCAACCTACCAGTTCCCAGAGGATCAAGTGATACCATTCTAGATTTCTGTTTCGGATTCTTCATGCATTCAAAAATCGTAAAAATTCATTTTCAGAGAGAGTGAATAAATTCGCCAACATAAGGTGTTACATCGACTGGATATGTGAGCACACAGGTTAGGACGAGTTTTTGTGTACATTAGACAATGCTGCAGTTTTTGTGGAACATCAGAAAGGTTCATTTAAGGTGTCTGCCCAATACGAATGGAATCACATCGCGATTCTCATGACTCGCCTTCAGATTGGACGCGTTAGCGTTTTGTGGAATCTCCTTATCAGTTTCGCCGTGCTTTTTTTCAGGTGGATCATGTTCACAAATTACTGATTGGGGTCAAAATCTGAAGTGTAGTGATGGAGTTTGTAATTTTTGGGCAATAAAACTTTGCAAAGTTCGCATTGTTCACAGTTCTGGCGCTTATGATAATTTTTACGCTATATGTCCTACTAGAGTTTCATTACTAGATTTCCCGAATGATGTTCATTTCTAGCGACCGCAAAAGCCTACTTTATTATAAGCGAGACCTTTCTAAGAACTCTTGAGCAAGCTGTCTTACTATGAGAACTGTTTTTCAGCGACCCAGCTCGGACTCTTAAAGACGCATGACGCATGGTACGCTCACACACATTAAGGGTGTATGTGACTATCAGCCCCCCAGCTGTCGATGTGTCGTGGTTTCCCGCCCGAAACTGCACGGGGTTAGAGTACAGGGCCGTGGGAAAGTCTAATTCGTCCATGCTCCGCCCAAAATGCAACTTGCGGCGCAGACTCCCTTTATGCTAACAGCCGTCCGCGCGGCGCGTGTCGCGTGCAGCTCCTTGGCGCTTTGCCAAGTCCTGTAATTGCGCTTTGAAATACAATTAGAACGCAATTTTCTGGTAACCGGTATTTTCTGGTAATTTTCAGGATAACATTTAGGTGCTGCAAAATAAGAACCGAAGATGATGACGAGGGCCAGAACTCAAGAGCAACTGTGCTGCTTCTGCAATATCCCTCGGAGGCCGCGCATTCCCACAAAACATGAAAATAAAAACGGCCTAAGCGTCCCACTCGTTAGTTTGAAGTATTTCTATGGCTTTGGAGCCGGATTCGCGCCGGATCGCAGAAATTTACACGCGATTTTAATTATTTGCATTTCCTTAATTTTTTCATTTTTGTTTTATTTACATCTACATTCGTTGTTCTTCATTTCTAGCCTTTGTCATCACCTTCTATTCGGACTTTGAAGCATGAGCAACACCTCAAATGTTATTCGCATCAGGAAATTGCGTTTTGCTTGTATTAAACTAACGAGCTTGGGCCGTTTTTATTTTCATGTTTTGTGGGAATGCGCGGCCTCCGAGGGATATTGCAGAAGCAGCACAGTTGCTCTTGAGTTCTAGCCCTCGTCATCATCTTCGGTTCTTATTTTGCAGCACCTAAAATGTTATCCGCATCAGGAAATTGCGTTTTACTTGTATTCCAAAGCGCAATTACAGGACTTGGCAAAGTGCCAAGAGAGCTGCACGCGACACGCGCCGCGCGGAACGGCTGTTAGCATAAACGGTAGGCGGAGCATGGACGAATTAGACTTTCCCACGGCCCTGTACTCTAACCCCGTGCAGTTTCGGGCGGGGAAACCACGACACATCGACAGCTGGGGCTGATAGTCACATACACCCTCAATGTGTGTGAGCGTACCATGTGTCTTTAAAATTAGCACAATCGAGTTGACAGGATAATAAGAGGCACTGGTCGCCTGACGAATTGCGCACGCTCGAGTAGCGTGCCGTGTAGGGTTCAATCCTGCCTGAAGTCAGAAATTTCGCCTCTACATAAGCATTCCTATGACAACTCATAGCGAGCCCTTTTGCGCAGCCATCTCAAAGAATGAGCAGGAGTATGGACATCCGCGTCTATTCCTGCCAATGAATGTGTGTCACTGATTCGAAAGTCATTGGGCATCGGCGATTGAGACGTTGTATGCATTTTTGTTAGCATATTCTGAGCTCACCGTCGGACTCACAATCACACAAGGTCAGCAATGTCGTGTTCACGTTCTCACAAGGTTCTTGGGACTATGTTTGCGTTCTTTGTACGCTCTAACAAGCTCATTCTTTGCCTAAAAAGAGTCAGCTAGCGCACGTAGGAAAGTGATCCTTTCGTGCTACTATTGCTACTACAAAACTCAAAAAAATGTTTTTTTTTGCTGAAACTATGGCTATGGGATATAGTCGTGCTCTGATCATGAGTCATTTCCCCATGCTTCCCCAAATTTCTTGCCCTTTTCCTAGTTTTCGAGAATTTCCCAAGAGAAGCGCGTGTGGAGGATATTGTCACCTTCCCCCCCCCCCGTCCCCACGCCGACCGTCCACCATACAATTCTACATTTGTCTGAACTAACAAGTAGTAGTTATATGCGTAACTTGTAGCTGTGTGACTTCAACCGTCATGGAAGCAAAAGCGCTGTTTGGTGGCAAACGTTTCGAGCTACAAAAGAAGGAGCACCAGCTCACACCAGTGATCGCCTTTCTGTAGCTCAGCTTAGCAGGGTGAGGGTAGTTTCGC